ATTTCCTGGAAGGAAATTTAAAGAGCTGTTGAGTTAATGTCTTTGTCTTGGGCGAGATCAGTTACTGGTGATCTTGCTGAGCAAGTAGCTGGTGAATTTTCCTGGCAGAGGTGCACGGCAGCTCTGGAGGAGCTCGAAAGCTCTTTGGTGCTGAGAGCAGGATGAGGGCAGACTGGTTAAGCATAGGAGTTCACCATCTGGTTAACCATCACCCAGCTTCTTAGGCAGATTTTGCAGCTGTCAGTGAATTCTGACTATTCTGCTTTTGCCAGAGTTCCTAGCAAATTTGAAGGCAGCGTATGGATAGCCACAAATGGCCTGTAGTCATACCGTATCCTAGAAAATAGGGTGGGGGGAGAAAAATCCCCAGGTTCTGAATTTATTCAAGCAGCATTTTCTTTCCTAAGCCACTTAGAGCTCAGAGCAGGTCAGTTTGAGCCCTTTATTGTAGCATTTATAAATCTTTAGACTGAACAAATCAGTGTCACACAGTGTATAATTGGGAAACCAGCATGTTTTCTGTTCTGCGTGTTCTTAATGTGGTGTTCTGCCTGTATAATTATGTGGATTGCTTATCTCAGCAGGGGAGTGGTGTCTGAGGGAGATCCCAAGCATCGTCTGAATGTGTCCAGAGAAGGACAGTGAAGCTGGTGAAGGGTCTGGAGCACAAGGTTGCTCCAGGGGAGGTTCACATTGGAGATGAGGAAAAATTTCTTCACCGCAAGGGCTGTCAAGCACTGGAACAGGCTGCGCAGGGCAATGGTGGAGTCCCTGTCCCTGGAGGTGTTTGAAATACGTGTACAGACAGCGCTTAGGGACACGGTTTAGTGGTGGACTTGGCAGTGTGAGGTTGACGGTTGGACTTGATCTCAAAGGCCTTTTCCAACCTAGATGATTCTATGAATGGGGGGAAAATTGGGGGCCAGTTGGTCTAGACAGTTCTTCCTGCCCATCTGACATACAGCGACCGAGATGTCTGGGTGCAGAGCACCCCGAGGGTGGCCGTGCCGCCCACCTCCTCGCCTCGCTCCTCTCGCAGGGGCCGTGACATCGCAGCGTGAGGCCATGACATCGCAGCGCGGGGCTGTGACGCCAGTTCCCCAGTGAAATGTGTAAATCGTTGCTTCCCCAGCAGCACCCTCAGCCACCCGCTTAGGGCACAAGCCTTGTCTGGAGTGAGCGGTCGTGCTCCCAGGGCCAGCCCCGTGCGGTCTGTTACAGTAAACGCCGTGGGAAGAGGCTGCTAGCAGGACCTGTAAGCCACATAAAAGATCACTACGTAAACAAGACATGAATCATGGTTATGAGTAAGATAAACAGGGCAGCATGTGAACTCAGGTTTGTTTTGTGTGGTGGGGTGGAATTTTTTTTTGTTGTTTTTTGAACTTCCAGACTTCCATTCATGGTTTATTTTTGTTTTATTTTAAACTATTGAATGTTTGACTGCATGTCAGAAATGGTTTGACGTGTCTTTTTCAATCTCCTTTAGTGCAGGAGGTTGGACAAGGGGGTTTTTACAGTCTGTATTTTGTATATTAAGTGGAACCTTTTCCCCATTCTGGTCCTCTATGATTAGTAATTGAGGAGTATATTTAGATAGAAATAATCCTGACCTTGTGCCACTTAGAGATTAAGAGGAAATCAGTCCTATTTCTCTCTAAGCTTCTTGTCAAGTATTGAAGAAAACACTGTGATACGGCTAAGCAGCTTTGGTACAGGTTTCACTTTTCGACTAAAATACTTTATCCTAAAGTTAGTATCTGCTGATTCCTTTAATGCCTATATTTTCGCTATTCTTTTGATTCAGTTTCCACATTTCAGCTTGGCTTCATGAAAAAATGTTGCCGGCTTGGTGTGATACCTAGTGAAACCGCTGCTGTGATGGGAGCCGGCCTGACGAGCCCGCCTTCGCGGCGGGGCCGGTGCGCGCAGCTACGCGTGGGTATTGTCTTTGCAGCATAGTCTGGGTGCAAATGCCGTGGCCGTGGAGCTTAGCAGGGACTGAAGGTAGGAGGGTAGTTCTTATTTTCAGTCTCTGGTAGGATGTACGTGTTAGTGTACTGCTAGTTACGTTGCTGGTGACAGATGTTGGGAGTCGTTACCGAATGCCAGACTAGCGATTCCTTCTGCAGCCGGGAAGGCACTGTGTAAGGTTTTCATCCCATCTTCGGCTGGAATTTTCAGGCTGCAAATAATTAAAGTAGCGGGTCTTTTTTCCCTTCCATGACTCCTCATAGTTCAGGTTTCGTGGCAATCACCTTTTCCCCATTTACTATACGAGACTCGTGTTTCTCTCTTTACAAATCTCCTTGATTAACCTCCCAGCTTTCCTTGAGGTGCTGAGCAGCAGTGTGCTGTCTGACACTGGGGCCGCTTTATGGCCGGTTTCACTGAATTTAGAAAGTATTCTAAAAGCTTACAAGTCCTGAACTTTTGGAGGTATATTTTCCATAATAGGAGCTCATTTACATGTGAGTTTAACTGGTTCATTGCAAATTGATTTAAATTGCTTTAAGTTATATCATTTGTTGGGATCATTGTTTAAATCATGGTTTTAAGACACTGAGATCTATGAGTAGGATCAGAGAAGTTACCCAGTGCTTGGGTTTGTGGTTTACTTTACTTTCAGAAGCTGTAATGATGTCTGTGATTCACCAGACTGATTAACAATTAGGACTTCAGAAACTGGGCTGTTACAAAGGGCTTAATGTTTTTCCTGGGCAGTTCTCACCTCTCAAACTGTGGGATGGTCCTAGCTAGTACAAGCTAGTTCTCATGTGTCCTTAAACATGGATGAGCGTGTCCATCTGCCACACACACATTTCCAATATGTTCCAACAAATGCCAGCGCTGCCCCGGGTGCGATGTCCGGCTCTGCAGCTGAAGGAAAGTCTTTCATCCCTCCCATTAAAACTTGGTCTTTAACTTGTAATCCTTCAGCATGACACTTATTTTGCAGTAATTTTACTGCTGTCAAACCACTGTATACGGCAGTTCAGAATTACGTAAATCCCTCAGTGTGGGACAGAAGACAGTTAATGTGGCAGCGCGCTGTCAGTCTGTTAATTAACCTGGCACGCAGGCTGGGGCGCAGGCTGGCTGCGGCGGGCAGGCTCGGGCGCCGATCCCTTCCTCTCTAGGGGTACGATTTTGTGACGTTTAAGGCTGAACCGTGTGTGCTGCTGCCCAGATCACAAGGTAAAAAAGGAGGGGGAGGAAAAAAAAAAAGGAAGGATCACAGTGATGGGCTGCTGCACTGGCTTCTAGGGAAGTCGGTGGCTACTGATTTACCCTGCTGGCCTCAGGGTCACCCAGGGTTTCCACACCTATTGAGCAACGCTCCACACAGAGAAACAAGATACTGGCTTCCCCGACTCCCCTGTCGGAAGGCCCTTTACACCGAAGTTTCCTTTCCGTCACTGCCAGTGGTGTCGGAGGCAGAGTGCGCGGGAACGTGGCGGAGACGGAGCTGGTGCACCCTGCTGACGTCCAGCACCGAAAATAAACCGTTTTGTGTGCGCAGCCAGAGCGTTGCTCGTGTCGGGAAAGACTGTCACGTACTTTGTGAAGTAAATATGGTAATCTCCACGTCACTTCTGTATATGTAGAATTGAATTTTTGTTTCTTTTCTGCTATGTTTGATGTTGAACCATGTACAGTGTGTGATGAATTGCATACAGCTGGATGAGCTGAACTTTATTTTTCCCCTTTGTTAATTCTTAATATTTCAAAACATCTCCATGGTTCATATTCCAGGTGAATATAGTACAGAAGATCATTTTCTTGGTTTTGACTGAAAAACACATTACCAGAAAATTTGGTTTCTTCTGAAAGCAAATAGTTCTGCCAGATAAAGACCGTTTCATTTCCTCTGTAAGATAAAGAAACAACGAGTCGATACAAACTGTAGCTTTTGAAAAAGGCAAACAGCTTTGCTCAGTCGTGGAACTTAGTTAAGGAAATTTCCGTATTCTTCTGCAACAAGAGGTTCGCTGTCATTGATTCTGTCCTGCTACGAGCTGTGCCCTTTGTTTTAGTATTTTGCTATTCTTGACTTTGGTTTCTGGTGATTTATCTCAAGTCGTGAGTAATGTGAGGGCGTATTTGGTGGCACTTTTAGGAGCTGTGGAGAACGCGATGCAAGTTCTGCCTTTGAAGGTATGGTGTGATGATATTGGCATGACCAGTGAAGACCTTCTAGTGTCCCCTCAGGGCTAAAAGAAAGCTGCTGAATTTATAAGGGCTGTGTTTTCTGAGGTATGGAAAAGAACAAAATCTGATTGCGCAGATAAGCAGACATGCGCTGACTGAATGGATGTCCCTAGACTGAAGCACCTCATTCAGTGGTCTGACAGGTTTTTGTATGGTAGAGAGAATCTCAGAAGCTGTGCTTTGTCTCTTAAAAAATAAAATCCTTACAAAATGATTTTATAGTAGCACAAATCTGTGATGCCATATTTCTACTGAAATGATATGTCTAACCTTATTAATACCTTTAACACTTTTCTGATTCTGAACATACAGTGCATAGAGAGTATTCTTGGACACTAACATATCTAAGTGAAAGTGCATCATCTGCTGCTCTGATTTGTTTGGTAGAAGTTCGTTATTTCTTCACTCTTTAGGCTGCTGTCATATGAGCTTTGTTACTGTGGCTGTTCTTGCTCTGTAGATCGTCTTGGATGTTTTGCTCTTTGTTGCTGTCTTGCTTAGAAATCTTAGTTCACAGTGCGTAGTTAACTGAGTTTTGTTGCAAGTGATTCATGCGGGTTTTTTAATGTACAGAACGCTGAGGTAGCTGCAGTGGTAAGGCAACGTAGTAAAAGATTTATTCAGTCCGTTTTAGGCTTCTGCAGGAACATTTTGCACAAAGGCCTCTCTCCATTGAAGGTTTGACTGAGTAACCTGCTGTCTCACTTTAACAGTTTCTTTTTTTTCTTCTTCACGACAGATCTCTGAACAACAACTTTTTCACGTAGATTGACAAAAGCGGAGAAGAGATGGCCAGTTCAGCCCGAGAACACCTGCTTTTTGTGCGACGTCGCAATCCACAGCTACGATATACTCTGAGCCCGGAGAATCTGCAGAGTCTGGCGTCTCAGGGCACCATGGCGGAGAACATGAACTTGCAGCGTGCCAACAGTGACACTGATTTAGTGACTTCAGATAGCAGGTCTAGTCTGACAGCCAGTATGTACGAGTACACCTTGGGGCAGTCTCAGAACCTCATCATCTTCTGGGATATTAAGGAAGAAGTAGACCCAACGGACTGGATAGGACTTTATCATATCGGTAAGTCAGAACCATGCTGTAATATTTCTGTGTGTTTCTTTCTCTTTTGCCACTTCATCTTTCCTTTTCTGGTACGCGCTCTGGCACACTATGTAATTAATCTAGAGATAAAATTGAGGTAAGACTGCAGAGAATTACCTTGGATTTCTCTTTTGTGTTCTTAGAGGTGTGAACTGTGTAAAAACATGATTCTAATTAATGTAGATCTGGTTCCACAGTGACCTGCTTGAAGGTGAAATGCATTCTTCTTGAACAACAAATGTGCATACAGTTTGCTCTTTTCACTGTTGCTGGTGACTGGCTTACAGGCTGGGAAATTCGGAGTAGCATATTCATCCTGTAACTTGGCATGCTTACTGTCCAATGTTTGTACAGGTTTTTGGACAAGTAAATTCTTCGCATCTGTGAAAAGGTATTTTGTAGAAGGGAAATTGTATCAACTCTGAAGGAGCACGAATTTCTGTTTGTGAAGAATTCTTGTAGCAGGAAATCCTCTAAAGAGATTTTTGTGTGCTTTTTTGTGCTTTTCAGGGTATTTCATAGAAAGGAGCTGGAAAGAGCTCTAGGCTGGCATGCAAGGACCTGTGGACAGTGGGTGCATTAGCAAATAATGCAGCTCAAAAGGAGTGGATCAGTAGGTCGCAGCACTTGGTGCTGAGACCCTAGCATCAGCAGCGTATTTGGCTGGCATTTCCCATTGTATTGTGTTTAATCAGGTCCCTTGAGCCAAGCTTCCCTGCTGCGTGTGTGGTGTAGAGCTGGCCAAGGACAATCTTGATCTCCCTGCTAGGAACTGGAGTGTAGCTCGTGGGTAGCTGTAGCGGCACATGGGGTTTAGTCGTCTTCTCAAGGAATCCAGTGCACGTGCGCCAAAACTACTCTCGGAATTTAACCGGCGCTCCGTAAGCGAGACCGGCTGGATGCTTTGTTTCAGAATTGCACTGCTGCTCTGAACCGAATCACTAATGGAGACAGGAACTGCAGTTCAGCCTGCCAAAAGCAGGTGTAGCAGGAACTGGTGGAAACGGGGCTGAGCACTGGACTTTTGTCCGTGCTGGACTATGTAAGCTCAGTGCAATGAAATCGGCCTCAGCAGGATTTCAGAGAGATACTTGCCATGCCAGCTTTTTCCAGGACCTTCCACCTCTGCAGCACGTGATGTTACGTGCTGTGGAGATGCTGTTTCCAGGTCTTGCTCTTGTTTTTGTGGAATACTTTCTTCCAACATTACTGCAGCTCCACAAACTGGACAGTACTGACTTGTGCTGTCCTAGTGCCTGCCTGGTTATAGAAGCTGTACTGGAGCTGGTGCATGAGCTGCACTCTCTCCTAAAGCCCCCGTCACGCTACTGTGTAATAGCAGAGTGTTTGAGATGTACCTTGGGTTTCCTGTTTTCTTTCTAAATGATGAAAAGTCCAGGAACCCATGCAGATTGAGCTTTTGTCTCCGCCGCCACTTGAAATCCATGAGCGCTGGTGAGAGTTCTGTGACTGATTTAAAATAGATCTGAGCAGAGTCTTTCCTTTGAGACTCGTGGTTTCGTCATTCTGAGAAACGGAGCTGAACGTTTTTTACAAGAGAGAGGTAAGGAGATATTCAGCCTGACAGGCATGCCTGTCTGTCTTTGATTTGGGTGCTTTGATAAACTCTTTGAAGTGTCTGGCATCTTTTAAAAATAAAAAATAGTAAGCTTTTGTAGACATAGCTAAGGTAAATTAAATCCCACAGGGTATAATCCAGGATTTTCAGTCCTTCGTAATAATTGCTGTGAAGTACCCCCAGTTCCCACTTACTCCTTTGGAAGTTGAGGACACTCACATTTTCTCAGGAGAGGGATGTTTGTGGGTGAATATAATTAAAACAAAGCTCCGTTCTGAAGCACATTATTAATATTCAACATAGTCATTTGAGGTTGTCCATTCTGTTCTTTCTTTAAAATGAAAACCATTTCGGGTACAGTCGCTCTCCTCTGGCCCTGCCTCCTCCAGGCAGCGGGAATGGTGCGAGGTCACTAACACGAGAGCATGCGAGGGCAGTGCCAGCCTGTGCTGCTTGTACCTCCCGTGCTCCCCCCGTCTTCGAGGAGAGCACTGCTTTTCAAGGAGCTAGGAACAGAAAAAGGCAAATGTTGTGCTCTTATTTTAAAAAAACACACTGCATAACCAAAAGCATAGTCCTGTGGCTTTTTTTTTTATGTTGGTTGTACAATTCTCTGTCATGAAAGCCTGATCAGTGTTTTGGGGTGCAGAACTGAGCTCAGGTGTTAGCACAGAGGGATCTGGTGGTGGGCTGAAGCAATCCGGGTATTTTTCACTTCAAATTAACTTCCATTATAAAAGGAATTGAAAATGACACTCTGGGAAACTGCCTTCCATCTTCATTCCTTAATTTGTTCAATTAGCGCGCTCTCATTAGTTTTCTATCCTGAGAAAGCAGTTACTTCGGCGCTGCTTAGTGCGATTTTACTGCATGGTTAAAATTGCAGTCGCTGCCTAGGAATGCCACCAAACTTCCAGGTCCCTGGAGCTTTTTCCAAGTGCGGTACAACTTCGGTGCAATGTTTGGCCTGCTAAATGGTTATGAAAAGAGATGTTGCCTTTTTAAAAAGGGAAAAGCCTGAGGGCAGAAACACAGAATCATCTCATTTTGAAGGACTGATTTTTTTTTTAATGCATGTGGGTTTTTTTCCAGACTTCTGGGGTTTAAAAAAAAAAAAAAAGGGAGAGTCATAAATGAACAAATATTTTAGAGAGGACTGTGTATTTTTTTAAACGTTAATTCACTGTAATGTCCTCTGCAGTAACTTTTGATCTTTTGTTCTTAAATGCAAGAAGTTGAACTTAAGTGTGAAAAATTCTGCATCGCTCTACATAACAGATTTCATGCTCAGTTTTTCTAGCATTTTGTATTTTAAGGAATGTTTTTAGATGCATGTGCAAGTTTGATTTCAGTACCATACTCGTCTCTTCCTCTGTTTCACCGCTGTGTGCAGCCAAAACGTGGTCTGTTTTCTTGTCGAGGAACTGCCTTGTGCAGAGGATCTTTTTCTTTTCCAGTGTTTTTCTAAGGATTGCGAGGAGGCAAGTGTATGTGAGGGACACAGCATATTCTGTGGCAGCAAACATCCTTTCTCCTGACTGTTTCTGATTTTGTACTGTCTGAACTGTTTCAAGAGTCGGTAGCACTTCTTCAGCAGTCACGTCCATCTGGTTGTGGTGAAGCAGCTTTCCGGCTCCAGCGGCGAGCTGCGTGGAGAATGCAGATCACACGTGTGACGGCACAGCCCGGTGTCCCGGGGAGACTGCATCCAAGGGAGCAGCGGTCTTTCTGAGTCTGAGCTCTTCGTCAAATCTGAAATACAGGGTTATCATTTTGAATTCAGCTTTGCCTCGGATGGGCTGCTCATTTCTTCAGGAGTGGTTATGAGAATTGTCACTCAAAAGTGACACGGTGTGGTGGAACTCAGAGAGGGGGCTTTTCGGCAGAGGGGTTGGACCTGTGCTCACTCTGAAAAGGAAAGGTAAATTTTCAGTCTTCCTGTCCTAATGAGAAGGAAGGAAGAGGTCCATTTTCTCAATTATTTAAAGGTATTTATGTTTTGAAGAGCTATACTAGGATTTAGACTGAAAACCTTCTTCGTGTTTTGAAGTGGTAGAAGTCTACAGAATTTAACAAACACATTTTGCATCCTGTTAGGCCCATGAAGTACCGACCCAGATATTGCTCTGTACATGAGTGCTTTAAAAATGTTTGTTCCAAGCAATAGTTAAGCTATTGGAGTTTTACGGACATCTTTAATGAAGCGGAATCTGAATCTTGTTGTGGTGAGAGTGGTCAGACTCTGGAGTCCTGTAGTGAGTAAGGCTGCGCAAAGGATTGACCCAGTTGCAATCAAAAAGAGAAATAGGTGTTCATTTCGGAGGGACTATGACACACCCCAGTTTTCTTGCCACTGCGTTATTGTAGCAACAGGGTACCAGGACTTCTTAGAGGGGTGAGAACTGTTGAAGAAGATGAGCAGGTGGACTTTCCCCCGCTTTTCGGATGTGGAGGGAAGTTGAATCTTGATGAGTTTTATGGGTTGCCGTGAAGTCTCATGTTTAAAGAAATCAGAAAGTATAAAATAAAGAGTAAAACGTCAGGTGGGAGAAGCAAATCCTACTTTTGGTTTAAGTAGATTAACTCCCATGGATGAATTGCCCAGGTCGGCCTATTTTTGCCGTAATTTACGGAGTCCTAGTTAAGAGATCCATGTCCTTATTCTGGAGATCCTTAGCTCATTTAAAATGCTGGCTATCAAAGGTCAGTGTGTGTATTTCCATCAGCTGCTTTTCACAGGCTGCTTGGCTTTTTGTTATAGCTACTGCATGGACTCAGGATAGCATTATGAAAACAAAACAAAAATCAGAACAGAACAATCTGATGCAGAGTTATATAGGGCAATTTAGATAGGATCTAGGTTTATACTAAGCCTCCTAGGGTAATGGAGTTTGGAGCCTTTCCATTTCAGGTCAGACAAGATTAAAAAGGAAAAAAGCTTTCACATAAACTGCCTTTAATACACTTAAAATAGTGGCTTCTATTAGACAAAGAGATTATAAAATGTTAAGATACTTTATTCCCAAAAGGTTTCTCTGGTCTCCATTATACGGAACATACAAAGTAATAACTTCATTATCTTCCAGAAAAGCCTGATTTTTCACTTGATGTTTTTCCTTCCTGTTTTAGCATCACGGGTACTTTTCTGTAGTTTACAATCCGAGCAGCACTGTTACTGTCTGTTGACTGGTTCGGAGGCACAGCAGTATGAAATGGTGGTTACTCCTCAGTGTGGCTGCGGTCTGCACACCGTCGGTTGGACTCTCCTTGTGGAAGAGTCGGTCTTTACCCGGCGAGTTCCCTGGGAGAGCCTGTGGCTGAGGCTGCCAGGAGGCTGGCCTCGCGCCGTCTGTCGTCAGGCACTGGGGATCTGGGGTGGTTTTTTTTCCATGAGATCATC